CGTGCAAGTCTACGACGCAATACCCACCTATAAGCTAGAGGGAGATCAGGAATATGTACATTACCCGGTTAGCCGGTAGCTATGGTAGAGGTGGCCGAAGTTGCAGAAATCGCTCCCACGCCCAAACCTAAAACAGAAAGTTGACGTAAAGGTTAACTATAACTAGGTAGAATTGGAACTAAACGAAAAATTATTTGAATAAGTTGTCACCTGTAGAAGTGGCAGAAAGCCAGAAACGTCTCTTTGTGTGCCCATGGATGCCCGGCACATCTGCCTGTACAAAAAAGATAGGACAGCACCACCCCAGCTGTAGCTGACTGTATCATCAAAGTCCGCAATATGATGCAGAAAACGAAGGCTCACTAGGTTCCCCGAAGTGTTCGGGAACAAGACCCCCCCAAATAGATGGAGCAACAACAACCTCGTATATTGCTCTACATCCACCTCCGCTGAGTCGTCGGTGATAGTATCGTGGATCTGCACCAAGTGGTCTCTAATGGGGACCAACTGCATACGACTGCTCCCAATTGCTACATCTGGGTCCTCGGACCTAAAGCCCGTGAGCCTGTGCAGCATATCCATATATGAAGCCCGGTTAAAATATCTCATGTTCCCAGGCAGTAAAACTGGCAAGCTATCGGTGGACAGGCCATATAAAATCTCGACGTCCTGGAGTGTGATGGTGGCTTCGCCGATGGGCAGATGGAAAGTGTGCGTCTCCGGTCGCACCGCTCAATCAACGCCATGATCAAAGCATAGTCGAGCTGTATCCGGCCAATGCTAATGATCCTATATAATCCCATCTCCTCCAGGTGATGGACCACACGGGGATGTAGAACGCGGGGAGGAGTCAAAAACTCCCACAATAAATCTACTCTTCTGCCCCGAAAAGTCTGCATAAGCAACTCTTTCCCCCATATATGCTCGGATCTATGCTGGGGCTGTAGGGGTAGTAGCTCCGACGTTTGAGGGCTGGGATGTATAGGTGCATCCATGTCGTCAACTACAAATTCATAATTTTTAATAACTATCATTAAAATTTATGTGTGTTTTTTATAATTTAAATTCATATTTTTTAACAACTTAATTTTAAAAATTATATATATACTTATGGGTTTCGTGCTAAATTTTCTGAGGCCCAGTAGTACCAAACTATCATTAATAATTTTATGTTTTTTTATAATTTTTA